TTGCTCGCCATGAAACTATTACGGAGCCAATTAAACGGAATAAAAATACAGGGTGTGAGCAAACTGCTTCGGGGGGAGCTGGAGAAATGAGCCGGGGACGGTGTGGCGCAGCAGGGCCCGGGTCACTTGTTTGTTTGTTTAAACGCACGTTCGTGGGGATAGCTGGCTGCAAGTCAAAAAAAAAAAAAAATCTGTACGAGCAACAGAGAAAAATTATTCTCAAGCAGCGACGCCGCGGAAGCCGCTTCCCTCCAATCGAATTAAAAAAGAGTTAGACTTGGGAGAGCCAGCAAATGTGGGAAAGGGGCAGGGCGGACATTCGTGCCAATTAAAAGCTTGCACAGCTCATTCCCCCAGACGGCAAATCCCGACTACAAACACGAGCCCGTATTTACCGAAGCCGCCGCTGCCGCGCGCATTCCAGGCGAGCACAAGGGAGCTGGCGCGGGATGCCGGGTGATTGGCAGCCGCATTCAGCAACACACAGAAATCCCTTTTTGTTTGTTCCTGCAAGCATCTTTAAAGACGTCTCTGGAACATATGGCTTCCCTCAGCGGCACAAAGGGGCTAATGATTGCCCAGGAATGCCCCGAGTATTAAATATGGGATCACTACGGTTACAACGCCGCACCAGAGCGGCAATTCGTATTCGGCGTCAGCTCAAAAGAGCTTTTGTGGATAACGAGTTCAAGGACCAAGAAGGCAAAAAAAAAAAAAAAATTAAATTGTTACCGATGCTTAAAACTGCGGTCCGGTCTGCGCGCGGGGCTCGGCCCATTGTCTGCCCCGCGCCGCGGGCTGCGCCTCAGCCATTTTACTTTCCTCCCCGGTTTCTGCGCCGACAATGCGCGGGGAACAAAGGCTCCTTCCTGAGCAGGGGCAGTAATTCATCCGCGCCCTTCAGCGCCCGCCCGCAGCTGCCCCTCTCCCCGGAGCAGCGGCGGACCCGGTTTCGCCCCGCGCTCCTTTCCCATCGTCTCCAGGGAGATGGCGATGGTCCTGCATCCTAATGCCGGGCGCCGGGCCCCGGCCGGGCTGGGGGCTGTGGCCGGCGTCCCCCGCGCTCCCGGAATTAGGGATTCAGCCCCCGTCCCCCCACGGCGGCTGGTGGGGGGAGAGCCAGCGGCCCCCCCCCCCCCCCCCCAGCCTCGGCGAGGGGCACCGAAAGAAAACCCGCATTGTCTGAGAGCCGCCGCGCCGGGGCCGGCAGCGGGTGAGCACCACCAACACCCACCGACCCAGCGCGGAGGGGAAACGGCCCCCCCCCCCCCCCCCCCCCCCACCCACCCCACGTGGGACACGTTCCATTTTTTGAAAATCCCAGCAGGGAGGCAGTAAAAGCCGTCGGCCGCGGGGTGCCCTGACCCCCCCCCCCCACCCACGAGGAGCCCTTTGTGGAGCATCGCACGGCGGGACGGGGACGCCGGCACCGGCCCAGGCGAGCCCCAACAGCCCCCCTTTGCCCCCCCCAGCCCCCCCCAGCCCCCGCCGAGGGGGCCCCGGGGCCCGGCGAGCGGTTCGGGCGGCGCGAGGCTGCACGCGGCGGAGCGCCCGCTCGCGCCCTGCATGCTAATGAGCAGCGCCGCGCCAATTAATTGCTGGAAGTATCTATTCACTTACCGACCGGGGAGCCGTGGTGCCGGCGCGCAGGGCAGGGTCTGGCAGCGCGGCCGCGCGGAGCTGCTCACCCGCGCGCTCCGGGCGGCAGGTACGGCTCAGCTACAGCCGGGCAGGTGAAGGCAGGAGACAGACCTGCTTACATTTTTGTATTTAATTTTTTTTTTTTTTTTTTTTTTTTTTTTTTTTTTTGAGCTCACGTAGCATTTAGGGTCACATGCTGCCGTGAGCATCGGTCGGCACCGTCACGTGCCCGGGGTCAGGGCTCACGTGACGAGCAAACCCGATGAAGTGTCACCGCGACCCATTTTGCGTCGACCCTAAAAAACTTAGTTGTAAAAATCTAATTTATAACGGGTTAATGAAATAATTAATTTTGAAGTAGGCTTCTAACCTTTAGAACCAAATAATTTCAGGAGGAGGGGGCGGGAGAGCAAGAGATGGGAACGAAATGCCAAGATTTCGATGATATTTAATACACCCTCCTCGCTCCTCATAAGCTCCTGCGCCTTGGAGCCGTGCCAGCGCCATTTGAATACCATCCTTTGTTAATAACTAAATTGACGCCTCTGTTGCTGTTCGGTGTTTGCGGCTCTATCAAGCTGTAATCTGTCACAGCGAATACGAGGGGAAACGTAACTCAATGAGCACCCGCCGGACAAAGCCCAGGGCTGGTCCCGCAGCACTGCGGCACGCAGGGCGCTCCCCCACCCTCCCACCCCTACAGAAAACCTAATAGATATGTGTGTCTGTATATATATATATATATAAATACATATATATATATATGCACATTTTTGCCAGGCAGAATTAGTGATAGGAAGCTTCAGAAGGCTTGTTCTGCCATATTAAGTGCAGAATTTTGCATTATTTATTTTTTTTTTTTTAATTTTAAGCAGGAAGCAACAGAGCACACACCTTTCTGCATTTCCACAAATAACCATCTCTCCCCACGCCCCGCCTGACATGACCTCCCTCCTCGCCCGCGGGACCGGAGGGGAGCTCAAGCCATCGGCAGGGAGAGCGACAGCCGCGACGTCCCCAGCCCGGCGGGGCAGGACACTGGGACCAGACCCAGGGACAGGGGATGCGATACTGGGTAAAGGGAAACCGGGTTCCAAACGAGCCACAGCCCCGCTACGCGTCGACGGCTGAAATGAAAAATCCTAGTTCTGCGTGCAGGGAGATGTACAAATCAGATAAATAAATAAGAAAATTTTCCCTATAAAAATCAAGCGATACAGCAAAATAGAAACCTCAGCTCTGCGGGGGGACTTCGGGTCCGGCCCCGCTCCTGCAGCCGGGCTGCGTGCCGACGGGAACGGCGCGGCTGCCACGGGGCGCCTGGGACACCGGGCCCCGGTAGCCTCCTTACTTTGCAATTAGTTTAACTAATTGGGCAACAGCTCCAGCATAATTCACTTGATTCCCCATAACCATTAATTATTCTGCATTCAGGACAAACACGCTCTGCAGTTTGCTGCGCGCGGCGTGCCGGCAGCTTCATTGGCATTCCCAGCACACGGCAGCCGCTGGAAACGGGTGTCTGCGGCTGTGCCGGGCCCTAACGAACCGCGGCGAGGGAACACTCGATTGGCCGCACGCCGGAGGAAAAGGGAAAAAAAGGAGAAAAACAAACCCAATTTTCCTTTCGTATTAAATCGGCTGCACGCACGGCAGGGAAACGGCGGCTCCTGCGCAGGGGGGGCTGCGGCTCCCGCTCCCGGCACGGCTGTGCTGCTGGCACGGGGTGTGGGCGCAGCGCCGGCGGCAGTGCCAGCACCTCGCCGCATGCGGGGCACGGGGGGCCGGTGCCTCCCCACCACCGGCGGGGCGTGCTCGGCTCCCGGGGTTAATTGGGCTCGTGCCGCTGCCGTAACGGGGGCTCGCGGCGGTTCCTGGAGCATCACGAGGGCTCCGGGCTGGGGCAAGAGGAGGCGGCTCAGCTGACGGGGAGGGGGGTCAGTGCCA